CACACACATTGACACAAACGTATATAAACACAACTATTTACACACACTGACACAAACACACACAGACAATGCATGACACTCACAAACACACGACACACAGATACACATACACCAGGCTTTTCACTGGGTGGTTGCAAGAAAATGAAAACCTCAAAATGGAAAAGCACTGTTTTAGTGAAACTGCTTCACAATTCACCAACCTTGCATCCCCTGTTGACTTAGATTCTTTAGAGAAAAGTGTAAAATTATTTTCTGTTTAATCGCCTCTATTTTTGTCCCAAATAGTCAAAATCATGAAATTTTCTTGACTGTAAATGGAGTCACTTTCCAAAACCAAACACCTGCACATCCACCAATGTGGCATACTGCATCCGCTGTACCCGTTGTGGCCTCCTCTACATCGGGGAAACCAAGCGGAGACTCGGGGACCGCTTTGCAGAACACCTACGCTCGGTTCGCAACAAACAACTGCACCTCCCAGTCGTGAACCATTTCAACTCCCCCTCCCATTCCTCAGACGACATGTCCATCCTGGGCCTCCTGCAGTGCCACAACGATGCCACCCGAAGGTTGCAGGAACAGCAACTCATATTCCGCTTGGGAACCCTGCAGCCCAATGGTATCAATGTGGATTTCACAAGCTTCAAAATCTCCCCTCCCCCTACCTACCGCATCCCAAAACCAGTCCAGCTCGTCTCCGCCTCCCTAACCTGTTCTTCCTCCCACCTATCCCCTCCTCCCACCTCAAGTCCCACCCCCATCTCCTACCTACTAACCTCATCCCGCCCCCTTGACCTGTCCGTCCTCCCTGGACTGACCTATCCCCTCCCTAACTCCCCACCTACACTCACCTTCACTGGCTCCATCCCCGCCTCTTCGACCTGTTTGTTTCCTCTCCACCTATCTTCTCCTCTATCCATCTTCTATCCACCTCCCCCTCTCTCCCTATTTATTTCAGAACTCCCTTCCCCTCCCCCATTTCTGATGAAGGGTCTAGGCCCGAAATGTCAGCCTTTCTGCTCCTATGATGCTGCTTGGCCTGCTGTGTTCATCCAGCTCTACACTTTGTTGTCTCGGATTCTCCAGCATCTGCAGTTCCTACTATCAACGATAAAACAGCTGAGATTTGTGCAAACTCACCTCGTCTATCATCACTGGGCCTGGTATACTGCAAGAATTATCAAAGACGTTCAGACGTTCGGAGGTCTCTTTTCCTCCTTCTGGAATGTTCTGTATTTTAACAGTTGTTTCAATCTCCTCATTACTATCACTGTCTTCTTTTTCCTACAAATGTAAAAGATTCTGGTTCTTAATGTTTTTTTAAAAATAATTCAAAGAAAACAAGACTAGCATTAAACATTCCTCTAGCTAATATGATCTCAACTGACATTAGTACTGGATAAGTCAGATCCCAGAATCTAGATTGATAGATCATATTTTGACTTTGATGACATTTTGTTTGGATTTAATTTATTTTTGAAATGAGTGTGATGTTCGCTCCATCCCCTGGACAATGTTCAACCCAAACAAATTGCTTCACAAGGCCATTTGGACTCTGAAGCAAGATTGTGATGATGTTACAGAGCTGCACATCCCTGGGTATAAATAGTACAGTGTGGGTAGAGATAATACACAATACTTTGGAAGGAGTCTGGAACTCTGCACTGGATCATACTACAACATGGACATGAACACAGGAAGATGATAAGTTACCTAACACAATTGCAAGATCAAGGTCTGGTATATCTTAATCACAATAATATACAGTTGTAATGAGTCTTAATACATAATAAGTAGTATTATTTCAAAGTCGAGGCCTGAAGGTAGTATTTGATTTTGCCTTTTCCTTCACCATTCTGTCTCAAATCCAAGCTCAGTGCAGCATCAAACCATGCAATAAAATTCACACAAACCACGCAATAAAATTCACTCTTTGAAATATTCAATATTTCACTTGTGCTTTGAAATTGAGAAGACTGGTGGAAGAGTCAACAAACTTCAGGGAAAGAGAGAGACCGGACTTCTGAGAGAACAATGAAATTACTTCGTAAATTAAGAGGATTCCTAGCTTAGAGCTGGTGACACAACAGACTTTCTTTACCGGTTTGTTCTCCTCATCGCTTCTTCCTTTCTCCTGTTTTCTTCTCTCTTTCTGACGCTGGAAGCAACAAAGCAAGAGGCAAGGGGTCAATACAGAGGCTTCAGCTTTCAATCAACATCGACAAAATAAGGACGAGGCCTCATGACGGCAAATAGCACAGAATTATTACAGCACAGAAAGGGGTCATTCAGCCCTTCGTGCCTGCACCAGCTTTTCAAACAAGTCTCATTACCTTGAGCCAGACTTCCCATACTCCTGCACACCATTTCTACCCATATCATCATCCAATGCCCCTCCTGATTGCCTCCATTGAACCCATCTCCACCACATTTCCAGGCAGTGCTTTCTAGACCCTCACTACTTGATGTGTGAATGAGTTTCTTCTCACATGACCCTCGTTTCTTTTGCACATCACTTTAAATCTATACCCCTCTCGTGCTTTTTCATTTACTCACAGAAACATCTTCTCCCTATCCTGTCCCTATCTTCTGGTTCTTTGTCTCTATCCAGCCCGCTGACAACTCTGTAAACTTCGATCAGATCTCCCCCTTAGCTTTCTTCACCATGAGGAAAGTCATCCTGACTTCTTCAATCTATCCTCAGCACTCAAGTTTCTCTTCTCTGGAACCATTCTTGTAAAGTGCTTCTGTGCTCTCTCCAAAGTGTTTAAATCCTTCCTATAATGTGGCACCTACACTCGTACACAACACTCCAACTCCATCACATGAAATTGAGCGGCTGCCAAAACGAGGGCTAATGCGAATCAGCAAGCACTGAGAAGATGGACTTACTGTGAGTTAAGTCATGGGACAACCTCAAGTTCAGATACAGCAAACTGGATTAGTCAAGTCTAGACACATAGAACCAGAAGATAGGGACAGGAGTAGGCCATTCAACCCCTCAAGCCTGTTCTGCCATTCAATACGACCATGGCCGATCATTGAGCTCAAAGCCCTAATCCACCTGCTCACACATCCCTTGATCCCTTTGGCCATGAGAGCTATATCTACATTCTTCTGGAAAACATAGGATGTTTTAGCCACAACTATTTTCTGTGGTAGTGAATTCCACAGGCTCACCACCCTCTGGGTGAAGAAATTTCTCCCCCTCTCAGTCCTAAAAGGTTTAGCCTTTATCCTTAAACTACGACCCTAGGTTCTGGACTCCCCCACAATAGGGAACACCCTTCCTGCATCTGACCGGTCTAGTCCTGTTTGAATTTTATGGGTTTCTATGAGATCCCCCTCATTCTTCTAAACTCCAGTGAATACAATGCTAACTGACTCAATTTCTCCTCATATGTCAGCCCTGCCATCCCAGGAATCAATTGGGTAAACCTTCACTGTACTCCCTTTATAGCAAGAACATCCATCTTCAGATAAAGAGGCCAAATCTACACACAATATTCCAGGTGTAGCCTCACCAATTCCCTGTATAATTGCAGCAAGGCATCCTTGTTCCTGGACTCAAACCCTCTCGCTATAAAGACCAATGTACCATTTGCCTTCCTTATCGCCTGCTGCACCTGCATGCTTACCTTCAGCAACTGGTACATGAAGTCTCATTGAACATTCCCTGTCTCGATTTACAGCCATTCTAATAATAATGTGCTTTCCTATTTTTGCTATTGACGTGGATAACTACGTTATCACTATCTACGTATGCTCACTAAGCCTGTCCAAATCACACTGCAACAACTCTGTGTCCTCCTCACTGTTCACCCTTCCACCCAGCTTTGTGTCATCTGCAAATGTTGAGATATTACATCTAGTTCCCTCATCTAAATCATTAACATATACTGTGAATGGCTGGAGCCCTGAGACCCATCCCCTGCAGTATCCCACAGGTCATTCAAAAACGAAGACCCATTTACTCTTACTCTTTGTTTCCTATCTGCTAATCAATTTTTTATCTTATCCCAATGCACTTTAATTTTACACATTAATCTCCATGTGAAACTTTGTCAAAAACCTTAGCAAGGCATGAATGAGGGCTTCAGCAGCAAATGAGCTGAGACAAGGGAGATGTCAAGAAACAGGAGTTGGATGGAAATGGACAGTCTTGGCTTTAGATAATTGCCAATGAGTAAGGTGATTATATTTTCTCACTCTCTATCCTGTTTCATCTGGTGGTAGGGAGTGTTAACCTTAAACTTCCCTTGAGATCACTCAGGAAGCACTTCCCCCTGCAATGTTCCAACCCAAAAAGAGGTTAAGGTTAGAGGGGAATTGAAAAACTCAAATCCGAGATTGGTAGACTTTAGGTAAGGCTATTAAGAGTTAAAGGAGCCGAAATAATAAACTAAGTCCTTTTTATTATCCTTCCAGGGGACTCGGGCATCATTAGCTGGGTCAGCATTTATTGCCCAGCCCTAGTTGCCCTTGAGAAAGTGGGGTGAGCTGTCTTCTTAAACCCTTGTGGTCCATGTGCTGTAAGTAGACCCACAGTGCTGTTCGGGAGGGAATTCCAGGATTTTGACCCAGTAATAGTGAAGGAAAGGTGATATCTTTCCAAGTCAGGATGGTGAGTGGCTTGGAGGGGAACCTGCAAGGGGGTGGCGTTCCCACATATTTGCTGCCCTTGTCCTTCTGGATGGGAGCAGTCATGGATTTGGAAGGATGCTTGGTGAATTTCTGTATCTTGGAGATAGAACATACTGCATCTATGGAGCGTCGGTGGCGGAGAGAGTGGGCATTTGTGAATGTGGTGCCAATCAATCAGGCTGCTTTGGCCTGGATGGTGTCAAGCTTCTTGAGTGTTGTTGGAGCTGCACTCATCCAGGCAAGTGGGGAGTATTCCATCACACTCCTGACTTGTGCCTTGTAGATGGTGGACAGGTTTTGAGGAGGCAGGAGGTGAGTTATCCACTGCAGGATTCTTAGCCCCTGAGAGGAAGAAGCGTTGGGCTTTTAGGTCATCTGCAAGGGGAATATAAGTGTACAGGAACTGGACGTCCATGGTGACGATGAGGTTTCGAGGGCTGGGGAATTGAAAGTCCTGGAGGAGGTGGAGGCATGGGTAGTGTCCTGAACGTAGGAGGGAAGTTCTTGGACCGGGTGGAAAGGACTGCAACATCCCCCCCTCCATTGATCGAAATTGCCCTCAACCGCATCTCTTGCATTTCCCTCACTTCTGTCCTCACATCACCTCCCCCCCAACAAAAATAAAGACACAATCCCTTGTCCTCACATATCACCCCACTAACCTCTGCATCCAGCATATCATTCTCTGCCACTTCCACCACCTACAATCCGACCCCACCACCAAAGAGATATTTCCCTCCCCACCCCTATCTGCCTTTCGTAGGGACCGCTCTCTCCGCAATTCCCTCATCTGCTCCACACTCCCCACTAACCCCACCATGGCCAGCACCTTTCCCTGCAACCACAGGAGGTGCCACACCTACCCCTACACCTCCCCTCTCACCTCCATCTGAGGCTCAAGACAAACTTTCCACATCCAACAGGGGTTCACCTGTACATCCTTCGACTTGGTCTATTGTGTCCATTGCTCCTGATGTGGCATCCTCTACATTGATGAGACCAAGCGTAGACTCGGAGATTGTTTTGTAGAGCATCTGCACTCTGTACACTATAATCAACAACACCTTCTGGTTGCCCACCATTTTAACTCCCCCCTCCCTGGGTGACATGTCCATCCTGGGCCTCCTCCAGTGTCACAATGACACCACACGCGAACTGGAGGAGCAGCACCTCATATTCCACCTCGGGAGCCCACAGCCCAATGACCTAAACATGGAATTCGCCAGCTTTAAAATCTCCTCTGGCCTCATCCCAAGTCCAACCCTCTGTCTCATCCCCACCTCCTGGACTTGACACAACGTGTCTATCTTCTTCCTCACCTATCCACCCCATCCTTCCCACTGACCAATCTCCACCACTCTCTACCTACATCCACCTACCCCCAGCCCCACCCCTCTTCCCTCTATTTATTTCTCACCTCCCTTCTCCTTCCCCAGTCCTGGTGAAGGATCTAGGCCTGAAACGTTGACTCTCCTGCTCATCTGATGCTGCCTGACCTGCTGTGTTCCTTCAGCTCCAAACTGCATTGACCTTGATCTGCTCTTGTAGCCAGTGTGTTTACACAGCTAATCCAGTTCAGTTTCTAGTCAATGGTAACACCCCAGGATATCAACAGATGTAAATTTAGTGCTGGTGATGCCATTAAACATAAAGAGCAAAAGTTAGATTCTTTCTTATTGGAGATGGTCATTGCCTGACATTGTGTGCCACGAATGTTGCTTGCCACTTATTAAAGCCCAAGCCTGGATACTGTCCAGGTTTTGCTACATAAGACACACCTGGGAAGTTGTTATTGATGCCGAACATTGTTCGCTGATGATTGCGCACCCTGGCTGCTGACCTTATGATATACCAAAGACCAGTTTACGATATGAAGCAACCAAAGTATAATTGAATGATACAGCAGATGCGAAGAGTTGAATTCATCTTTCCTTTACACTTCCATTTAAAAGGATGATTACATCAGATAACATCAACATCTGAGAACATTTTCCTACCACCATCCATGATCACCCACCCCCATTCTTCCTGAAACCCCCCTGACAAATCAATTTATCTGCTTCCATCATCCTTTCTGACAATATATTCCCAATTACAATGACTCCTCGAGTAAGGACATTTGTCCTCATCTCACCTGTGGCTCTTTTATCAATCATCTGACTCTGGGGTGGTCTGGCTACTAATCACTGTGTCACTAGAAACAGATTTGTCATAATTAATCCATCCAAACACTTCATGAATTTGCATGTCTGCATGGTGGCTAGTGGTTAGCACTGCTACCTCACGGCACCAGGGACCCAGGTTCAATTCCACCCTCAGGTGACTGTCTGTATGGAGTCTGCACGTTCTCCCCATAGATTCCCTCCGGTAGCTCTGGTTTCCATCCACAGTCCAAAGACGTGTAGGTTAGGTGGATTGGCCGTGCTAAATTGCTCATAGTATCCAGGCATGCGCAGATTAGGTGGATTAGCCAGGGGAATTGCAGGGTTATAGGGATGGGGTAGAGAGTTGGGT